GCGTGGGGGAAGTGATCAACAAGGCTCTCGTTGAGTACCAAAAAGAAGTCACAGACGGAACTTTTCCGGGCCCGGCCCACAGCCCATATAAAATCAGCAAAGCTGACACGGACGGGTTTTTGCAGGCACTGGAGAAAATGGGTTTGGGTGATGCTGCAGTAGCAGCAGCAGATGCAGCTGAAAATTTTGAAGCCACAGAAAAATGACAGAGATATAGAGAGATTAGTGTTTAGTTTTTGCTCGACCGATGTTTTGTAGAGCCAGTGGGGAGCTTCCGAATTCTGTGAAATGGCATCTTTGTAGTAGTAGATTGAGGTTTTTTCTTCTGACATTTGAGTGTGGGATTAAGGTTGTGCTTGGTAAAACTAGCTAACAAGCTAGCTTATAGCTTATATATGTAATTTTTGAGCTTATAACTTATGACTTATAATTGAAAAACTAGCTTATATGATAAAAGTGTTTGGTAAATTAGCTGATAAGCTAGCTGAAATATAAAAATTCAACTAGCTTATTTGAAAAGCTACCTAAAGTAGCTTATGAGATAGGTTCAGCTTTTTAAAAAAGCTCGTCCTACCAAACGAGACTTATTTTAATATAGGGAGCTTATAAGCTATAAGCTAGTTTATTTTGCTTACCAAACATATCCTAAGTGCTAGACTAATAATGATCAACTCTAAAATAGTTTCTATTTTAATAATTTTTTTTTTAATTATATTGAAAAGAAAAGGTACAAATAAACAAAGGAATTTTTATGAGTATTGATTGTTAAATGATGAAAGTATTAAATCAATAGCAAAATTATTAGATGTTATTTTTTGGTAATATGTCTAAAATAAATATTATGTAGTCCATAAATTTACTTTTTATTTATTGAAAATTATATTTAATTTTCATAATAGTATATTTGATATATATGTAGTCGTTACCGCATATTTTTTTATTTTTTTTTGTATATTTTAAAAGATATGTTAATTTATATTGGCAAAACATAATTTATATTGGCAAAATATTTTTGAGTGTGATAAAGTATAATAGATATTTTATTATTTTTAAATATAATTATAGTACATATTTTTTAGAATATTTATTTATATTCCATATCAACAACGATCTTAGATAATTCCTCCAAACTCCCAAGTCTCCATTTGATGCTGTAATTAAAAAAAAAAAAAAGGCCAAAAATGAGACTCGCCATAAAACCTTTCAAACCCCCCCGCGCCGCCGCTCTCCGCCAGTTCTCCGCCGATCCCCAACCCTCATCGCCGGCGCCGCAGCCGCCGTCAGAGGTCTCGCAAGTAGTCTCAATCCTACAGTCCACCGATCCCAGCTCTTGGCCCACCAATCCCGACCTTAACTCCCTCCTCTCCTCCCTCCCGCCGCTCTCCCTCTTCAAAATCGCCCGCCGCCTGCCGGACCAACAAAACGCCCTCCGGTTTTTCAACCACCTCAGGACCTCCCCCAACCTCTCCGCCTCCGCGCCCCTCGCTTTCGAGGCGGCGCTCGAGCTCGCCGCGCGCGAGAACCCCAACTCGCCGGCCAAGCTCCACGAACTCTTCGTACAGTCGAAGGACCAAAATACCCCTCTCTCCGCCAATGCCGGGACCCTCCTCATCAAGTCCTTCTCCCGGGCGGGGATGCTTGACGAGATGGTCGCGGCCTTCGACGCCATCAACGAGGAGAAGAAGAACACGCACGTGCTGAACATGGTTATCAATGGACTGTTGGATTGGGGCCGTGTGGATGACGCACACAAGCTGCTCGACCAAATGTTCGAGGCGGACCCCAGGTACCCTCCGAATCAGAACACGATGGGTATCGTTTTCTCCTCGATTCTGAAGAGAAATTGGTGTGGCAGGAGCATAGCCGATGAGGAAATTTATAATCTCGCCACTCGTTTCAGCAAAAGTGGAATAATCCTAGGTGGATTTCTTTTGACGCAGATGGTCATGAGGTTCTGTAGTAATGGGTACTGTGACTGGGCTTGGGATGTTCTGCACCTGGGGATGAATTCGGGTGCCGATATAGAGGTCGCCTCTTGCAATGCTCTGTTGACAGGTTTAGGCAAGATTCACGATTTCCCTAGAATGAATCTACTCATGAAGGAGATGAAGGAGAAAAAGATCCAGCCGTCTATCATCACATACGGGATCACGATCAAGCACCTCTGCAGATTCCAGAGGATGGACGAGGCCTTGGAAATATTCGAACAAATGAAAGGCGGCGAATTTGGGGTCGAGCCCGATGCAGTCATTTACAACACAATAATTGACGGGCTCTGTAAAATTGGGCGGCAGGAAGAAGGTCACCAGCTGATGGAGAAAATGAGGCTGGACAGCAAATGTAAACCGAACACAATTACATACAACTGCTTGATTGACGGGTTATGTAAAGCCGGTGAGATTGGGAAAGGCCGAGAGCTCTTTGAAAGAATGGGCCGAGAAGGCGTGGAGCCCAATGTCATCACAGTAAACACTCTAATTGACGGGATGTGCAAGCACAGTATGGTGGGCACGGCACTCGAGTTTTTCAGCGAGATGCAAGAAAAGGGCTTGAAAGGGAATGTGATAACTTACACAAACTTGATAACAGCTTTTTGCAATTCGAACAATATTGATAAAGCCATGAGCCTTTTTGATGAGATGCTGGGGAATGGTTGCGCCCCAGATGCCGTAGTGTACCAAGCCCTTATTTCGGGCCTGGCCCAAGTCGGGAGAATGGACGATGCTACTCGTGTGCTGTCTGAGATGAGGAAGGCCGGGTTTCGTCTGGATGTGGTGGGTTACAATATCCTCATAGGTGGGTTTTGCAGGAAGAACAAACTGGACCGGGCCTCTGAGCTTCTCAAGGACATGGAGAGTTCTGGGCTGAGGCCCGATCGCGTCACATACAACACACTGTTCTCATTTTTCTGCAGCAACGGGGAGTTCGCGCAAGCTCACCGCGTGATTAGGAAGATGACAGAAAATGGGTTGACCCCAACTGTCGTCACCTATGGGGCCCTCATTCATGCTTACTGTTCACACGACAATTTGGATGCGGCCATGCAGATTTTTAGGGACATGAGCTCATCTTCCAAGGTTCCCCCGAACACGGTCATATACAATATATTGGTAGATGTTCTTTGCAAGAATGACGACGTGGAGGGCGCCATGTCATTGATGGAGGATATGGAGACTAGGGGCGTGAGGCCGAACAGCAACACGTACAATGCCCTTTTCAAAGGGCTCAGGCAGAGGAATTGGTTCGAAAAGGCTCTTGAGTATATGGACCAGATGAGCAAACAAGGCCTTGACCCGGATTATGTGACGATGGAGATTCTTACAGAGTGGCTCTCGGCTGTTGGGGAGACCGAGAAGTTGAAGGAGTTTGTTAAGGGCGGACGGGTTTCTGGGTTGGCCACGTGAAGGTGATTTTTGGTTGTTTATATGTTAGATTGTCTTTTTTGTCTTAATATTTTGATTACAAGTATTTGAGTCATGATGTTCCGATTGTTGGAGCTAAGTTTTTCGAGATATTCATGAACACTTGGCTTGAGCTTTGTGTCATTGTTGTTGAGTAATGTTAAAGCCAAGACTTGAGTGATGCTTGAGTAGTGCTATTTCAATCGTTTTTTCGTGTTCATACTTGGGTCTATGGTTGGTGTGTTTTACCGTATCAGTATTAGGGCTTTGTGATGATTGCATTGTCTGATTCGTGATAGAAACTTCGACTATAATCTTGGCCATGGAATCATTTTTTTGTTCCTTTTTTTTCTTTTTGGGTGGGAAGGTGGAGAAAGAATAAGAACCTTCTGTTTTGTGTTATTTTTTGTGCCAGCTTGATGCTGTCAGAAAATATTTGCTCTAAATTTAAGATGCCTCTTTTGTTTGTTCTTGAAAGCTCAATCTTGGACCAGTGTATCACTTGTTTTAACATCTGTGAAATCAATTAAAGAAGTGCAGCTTTTTGTGGACTCCTCAGAACCAAGCAAATTTTGGTATAAACAAATGTTGAAGCATTTAGCGATGTATGTTTTGTGGTGTTGTGGGATGAATTATGTCTAGAGAAGCTCGAATACGCTTCTGAATTGGTCTATAAGTTTAGGGAAGTGATCTTGGGGAATTTGTTATATTTATAATGTGGACAAACTGACTGCCCACACTGGGTTTTTTACTGATACGAGTGTGTTAATCTAACGGTTGAAAACCGAGTGTGGGGAACAGATTTTCATTCTTTTGGTCTTGTCTGTAGAATATTGAGAAAGGGATCCTGGAGAATTTGTGCTTGTCAGGCCATATTTTGATCAAGGATGAAAGAACACCAGACATACAATTATCAAATACTAATAAAAAGGAAAGTAGGAAAAGAATAATATGATCATCAAGACAATGAATACCAACTGAAAAAAGATTTGTTATCAAGAACCTATAAAGAAGAACATAAAAAAGAAAGTGTACTGGCAATTGAATATGAATCAATCATAAATCATGTGTATGATGGTCCATAAAGTCAATAATTATAGTAAGGGGCCTAAAGGGACATGAAAATGGAATCAACTCTTTCTTTTTCTCTACAATGCTCTCTCTTTATGATTGACAAGAGATTTCTCATTTATACTTATACCATTCTCACACACACACACCCAAAAAAAAATGTATAATATCAAGATTCTTTACAATTCTAAAAAAAAAAAAAGCTGAATCAGTCCCAAGGTCAAGTGTTCCACACGAAAAACATCCTTTAAATGTCAACCGCCTCCGGCAATGGAGGTCGCGCTACTCGCAAGCCAGGGAAGCTCAACGCCCACCGGAAAAAGACCGGATGTGCACTCGCCGGCCGTGAAATCCTCCAAACCCGCGAAAAAATCGTCTTCGAGCTCCATTTTCGAGATGATGAAATCGTCATCGTCATCCTCCGGCGGGTCCTCCCGGCTGCTCTCCACCTTTTCCGGCGCGGCGATGGAGTTACTCGGCGCCGGCGAAGTCTCCGGCGTGGTGGGTGCCGCCTTGGCGGCGGAGTCGTCGGGGCTGGTAGCCTCTGCAGGCTTCTGGCGGGTACTTCCGGCGAGCGAGTTCCGGTGAGTGGGCATTGGGTGGTTGTGCTCCGCCGTGTAGGTGACTATGAACATTCCCGGGTCGGATCTGTTTCGCTCCACTTGCTTCCTAGCTAAACACCCTTTGGAAGTGCTGCATCTGTAATAACCCCTGCAAATTTATTTCAATATATGTATAATTAGAAACTTTTTCCCAACAAAAAAATACATTAATAAAAAAATACCAAATCATTGAACTTTATCACTTCATAATCCTAAAGTAAGGGCAATCATCATTTTTTTCCTTCAAGATTTGAACTTTCTTGAATTAATTACCATGATAAGCTTAGGTACTCAGATTTGGAGTGAATTGACTAAAAAAGATTAAAAATTTACCTAGGATATGGAGAGCCCTTGATGGGTTTTTGCCCATATTTTCTCCAAGACCACACATCAGAGGATAAATTCTCCGCAGCTACATGGCAAACCCTCTTCATATGATTTTTCCTGCAAAAAAAATAAACCATAAAAACAATTAAATTTAAATAAAAATAAATATATAAGAAAATCAGATCCATCAAAGCACAGCCTTTTCTTTTTCTTTTTTTTAAAGAACCAATCTTTTTTCAGTTTATTTCTTAATCAGTACCTTTTTTTGGACCTCGGGCTGGGATTATGTACAACTGCGCTTTTCGGGCCGTTACCAAAACAAAAGGGCTGCTGCCTCTGGCTAACCTGCACCGGCTGAGGTGTCTGTTTCGCCGGCGGTGGCTGCTCTTGCGCTAGATCTGGCAAGCCGCCGAGAACAGAGAGCGGCGAGTTAATCGGCAGGCCATGGGGCGAAATCGCAATTTGCGAAGACTCGGGGGGCTTGAAAATAAAAGGCTTGTACAGCTCATGCAGCTCCTGGTCGGCCGGGGCCGCCTTCCAAGGCGGTGAGAACAGATCTTGGAGCCGAAAGCCTGCCGGGGACGGAAAGGTGCAGTCTTGGTGGGCGGTGCTGCCGCCGCCGAGGAGGTGGCCGCCAGGAATTGGGTTTCCGGCGGTGGGGAAGGAGGATGCGACGGCGGAGGGCGTAGCGGTGCAGCCTCTGACCACCGCCTGTAGATCCCAGTCGTCCTCCATTTTCTTATTTTTCTACTTATACTGATTTTCCTTTTTTTTTATTTTTTGACAAGGGACAAATGAAGGCGCTGACTTTTGGAAATGGGGACAAAGGAAAAATGGAATGGTTTTTGGTAAGAAGAGTGAGAGAGGGGGAAAGAAAGAGAGAAGTTTTATTTATAGAGAGAGAAAGAATGGAGGTTTCTCTCACTAGAAGAAGAAAAAGTCTACGGAGGGTGGTGAAAGGCATTATTATGTAGGACAATTGACTTTAGGGTGCTCGAATTTGAGACCTTAACGAATTGAATTGAGCTCGACACATTAGATAAATGATTAATAAATTGAGTTTGAATCGGTTCGTTTGTAACTATTAGCTAGTTGAGTTCGGGACTTCAACAATCGAACTATCAAACATTATATAAAAACAAAATTCCTGACAAGTCGAGCTCGTTAACCAACTCCAACTTTACATGAGTTTGAGCTCGACTCGTTAAGGGCTCGAGAGCTAGTCGAAGTCGAGTTTTAACGAGCCTTGTCGAGTTAAACTCGTTTTAATCAATCGTGTTTTTTAGTACAAAATAGCACTGTTAGGGTGTCTAATTATTGAATCATATATATTTTTTTTGTAAAATAAATATTCTTGCACTATAAAATGCCATATTATGTCAATATTATAATTTAAAATATGATATTTGAATAAAAAATATGCATATTTATTTACAATACTGATTACTTGATGATTACTCATACTATGAGAATACATACCTTTTTTAAAAAATAAATAAATAAATAAATTATATATATACACACAGTTGGTATTGTTAGCCTCGTTAAGCGTTAGACAATTATACTTTGTTACAAAAATTGTACACTTAATTTATTAAACGAAAGGATTTTGCTTATTTCTTAATTTAATGTTGACGCACATACGAGTATAATAGTATGTATATATATTTAAAAAATATAGTCGTACGAACATTAAAGAGCATAATAGAAAATCTAATAAAAATATGCTATTTTATATTACAAATATATATAATTTTTTTTTTTTGTTAGAAAAATAAAATAGGTAAGCCCAACTAAAAATGTTTTTTTTTTTTTTTTACTTTTATCAAAGAGTTTGGCCATTTGGCCTATCTTGATTATTGAATTTTCTTCTTTCATATATTTGTTGAGCCAAAAAGGGGGTTGGAAAAAAGAAAAAAGATGCTAAATAAATAAATTGGATTTGTTTATTAGTTGCTGGCGAGTTGACTTTACAAAAATGTCAAAGGGGGTTTGATAAAAGAGAAAAGGTCTACGCGTTTTAAGTGCGAGCATCGGGACTCGTGAGAGGATTTATGGCGGGGCCGTGGCTTGGTGGGCCCACTTGCCGACAAAAGATAGAAAGCGGCAGGCCACGTGAATGCGACGCTCCTTTACAATGTCTATACGCTCTATGCAGTCCATCCACTCGCGCGTGGGGCCACATTCGCCTTCCATGGGATGAGCATGAATCTTACGAATGTGGGTCGTCAGGCATCTTGGTGTGGAGGGTCACGGTTGAGTCTGATTTCGGGTGGTGTTTTGAAGTTTGGATTTCGACTTCGTTATGCCACCGAGTTGGTGTTGGACTATCTCAGGTTGGTCCTGTTAAATTATGAGATTCACTATGGGTCGGCTTGATATCCACTGGTTCTGCTTGGTTCAACTGTTTAAGAATGGCTAGTTTTATTTTGTTTAATGCCTTTTTTTTTTTGTTTGTATATTGTTATTTTGATAGGTTGGCGGCGTTTGTATTTGTGTTTGTGTTTTGGTTTGTTTTTAGGTTTGGGTCGTTGCATCGGTTAGTCTGAGTTTGACTTTATTATCTTGTTGGGATCGTACACTCGGACGTTATCTTGTTGGGGTCGTGTATTTTCTTTTTCATTCTCCTGTTGTGGGTTTTTAGAGTCGTTGGATTTTTTGTTTTTCTAGAGTATTATCCTGTTATGGTCGGTTCTAGATGGTTTTTTGACCTATCCTCCATGCTTACTCAGTTGTTGGCAGTTTGTATTCAGCTGGTGGATGTACTTTTGCACATTTGTGCGCTTTTACATATAGCTTCGTTTTGAAAAAAAAAATGTCCATACATTTTTTAGTACAGATATATCTGTTAATTTTTTTTAATCGAAAATAATTACAAAACAATTGTTATAATTAGTTGTTAATGGATTTTGAACTTATATTAAAAGAATATTCTAAATATAATAATTGATATAATTTGACATAAAAGTAAAAAAAAAAGTAAAATAAAAATAGTTTGAAGTGATGATTAGTTAAAATTATGTGAGCAAATTAATAGTAAATTAAACTTGATGAATAGTAAATTAAAGTTGATTTGATATGTAAGAATAATTTTATTATCTAATTATATTGATAATATATGATCGATCTTCTAGGCGGTCTTCTGACCCGTCCTCCTACTTTTTCAGATGTTGATTGTTCCATTCAGCTAGGGGATATGTATTCGCACATTTGCGCATTTTGATTTATAATATAATATTTCTATCATTTCGAAAAAAAAAAAAGTTAAATTTTAAGTATGAATTTAGTTATTTTATAAACAAACACATCCTTAATCTCTAGTTTAGTTAGTATCGAGTTTAACTCATTAACAAGATGGGTCGAGAAAACAAGTATGAACTTAGCTTGTTAAAGAGTTGTAATTGAATCTTAGGATATAAGTCCAAATTAATAGTTTCTAAATCTATGTGAAAACTCGATTCCCAAGTATAATGTGACTCAAATTCTTTAAGATTAGGCCCATACTAAGGGTGTGATTGTTTATCAATCCACTTCAAAAAAATCTAATCAAAACTTAAATTTAACTCAATTTTAACTCAACCCACTATCTTCAATATTATCAATTAATCATCCAACCAATCATTCTTATACATCACATCAACTTTAATTCACTATTCATTTACTCACATAATTTTAACTAACTATCACATCCAATCATTTTGTCTCTTACTTTTACATCACATCAATTTTAATTATTTTATTTCAATTATTATTTTAATATATCTACTAACAACTAACCATACTAATTTTTTTCAAAAGTAACTATGGTTAAAAAAAACTAGTTAAAAACTAGATGAGTTCATAAACAATCACCCCCTAAACGATCATATTACCACTCGCGCTCAATTTGTTTACAAAACAAGTTAAATTGAATTCAACCTTTAACAAACTAAGTACACGAGAGATTTATTTGATCAAATAGTTATGACTAGGGCTGCAAACGAGCCGAGCCGAGTCGAGCATTGGCTTTATCGAGCAAGATTGAAATTTTTTTTTCTGCTGCTCGAGCTCGAGCTCGATTTATTATGCTCGAGCTCGACTCGATTAAAAAATACAAGAGCTCCAGCTCGGCTCGAGCTCGACTCGAATTCAAAATGCTCGAGCTCGACTCGAATTCAAAATGCTCGAGCTCGGCTCGAGTTCGGTTCAAATTTTTTCAAGCAATTTTGTAAAATAACCATTAAATACATATATATAAGGGTATTTTAGTAATTTCATATATCTCGAGCCGCTCGCGAGCCGCTCGACAATGTAAAATATAGGCTCGAGCTCGACTCGAGTTCGTGCTCGAGCCGCTCGAGCTCGACTCGAGTTCGATCAAACTCGAGCTCGAGCCGAGCTTTGACTCGAGCGCTCGCGAGCTGCTCGCGAGCTGCTCGACTCGTTTGCAGCCCTAGTTATGACCAAACCGCAAAGCGTGATGACCTAGACATGATCACGAGCCGAATTAGCTAGCGAGAATCGGCTTGAAACTGTTGACCGGGTCCTTGTTTGACCAAACCGGTTTCTGGCCACACATGTACACCCTTTGAACTGTCGGACAAGTCTCGAACGGAACTGAAACCGACGGTTCGACCTTGATTATTTTATTTGAACTTTTTTATTTTTTTTAATAAATCGAGCATGCCCGAAACTGCATGCCCATAACGGGACCCGAAACATAACTTTAATAGCTATTGTAATATTATGGTTATAATTGGGGAATTAGTAATATAAACATTTAAATAATAAATTCAATATTATACATATTTATACTAATTCCTTTTCTTTTTGAAATATAGTTGTTTAATGAAATGGAGTAACCGTTCACGAGTTCAGCTCTTTGCACTTAATAACTTTAAATTGCGTAATTTCTACTACAATTAGTGTAACTTAATTTGTCAAGGCTGGAGTTCTGTCTAAAGTTTAATTTCGGCTTGACTCGTTTATAACTCTATTTGACAATACCCAAAATAGTGATGGAAAGTATAAAGAATTAATAGCATACACGATTTATTCCAACGATCATGCAGCCCAGTGTCAAAATAGCATCATTATACATTTATTTATGTAGTTAATAAAGTGTACTCACTCGCAATATTTCTACTTTATTTCATGATAGTAATTATATATATATATAGATTATTATTATTTATTTATTTATTTTCTAGATTGTCTGTTGTCATGCTTATCACTCTTGTTGACTCATAATTTTACTTAGTGTCTGAGCAAATTATATGAAATGATTATAAGAATGTTTTCCTCATATTAAAGTTTTTGCAGGGAATACTTATAAGTTATAGTAAATCTTATAATTAATTTTAAAGCTTTATTCTAGTATTTAAACTTGATAATTAGTATAACACATGACTATAGCAATATAAAATTAAAAACTAAAAGAAAGCAATATAAAGAAATTGAATCATTTAAATCTAACTAGTGGTGAATGAGTGAAGTCTTGTTCCATATCAACTAGTCCAGTACTCGTGCGATTCACGGGTTAATTTTCTTTAATGTAAAAAATTATATTTAGATAATTAGATGATTGGAAGAACGTAACACGCATGCAATGGAATAAACAAAATGTAACTTATATATTATTAAACAATGAGTTTAATATTATACTATATTTGAAAAGGCATACTAAATTTAAGTTGGAAGTAACATAATAGTTTGACTTATGTATGTCTAACCTACGAAGTCAAATAGCATCAATA